CAAGTAATACCTGCCAAAAACCACAGTTCCTACAGCTCAAACAGGACAAATGGGACTGTGAAGTAACATACGAGATATAGAAGCAGAGACCATGGAGCCCAGGGACAGTTGATGTCATAAAACACAGAGACCCAGAGAATGGGTATGGGTATAGGTATTAACCTGGTCCATTTACTGTTTTTACATTCCAGGCCTCCTAACAGAAGACAGCTGCTTACACTTGCCTGCTTACAAGCAGCTCTTTCTTTCTCTTGACCACTCAAAACTTCAGGCTTCCTGATTGCATCATGGAAAAAGTCCAATACCTCACTCGCTCTGCTATCAGGAGAGCCTCAACTATTGAAATGCCTCAGCAAGCACGCCAAAATCTCCAGAATCTATTTATCAATTTCTGTCTCATCTTGATATGTCTCCTGCTGATCTGTATCATCGTAATGCTTCTATGAAGTGCTGCCACCACCTCCAGGATCTGTAACATGCCAGTTCAACTTCAAACCAGCACTCCCTCAAGAGGAGAAACAATACAGCCTACTCCCTGTCTAGAATGTCTTTCTAAAGGTCAAGATTAAGAGGGAAGCAAATTGTTAGCCAATGTATTCACCTACTGGATCTTGTAAACAAACTTTACAATGACTAAGTGTGCATAATGTAGCTGCCAATTTCCTCAAAATGGCCCATAAATATCTTTCCTAATTATTTCTGACCATGAAGTATGAATTTTAATTTTGAAAAAGCACTACAAAAATGTTCACTTTCTACACCCTACTGCTAAGAAGTTCACCATTTTTTTTTTTACAGGAACTAAGTATTTCTCAAGTCTCCACAAAACTGATCATCTAAATGAAGTGTTCTTATTCAAAATAGCTCACTGGGTCCTCACGTGTATGGCTACTATTATTATTACCACATTAGTTATGCTGTCAGAATAAATACCTTGAAATAAAGATCATGTCATTTATCTATACACTAATATTTTTAAGCTTATGAAAATCAAATAGGTAAAAGATCAGATTCTCATATTTCTCAAGGATAAAGGAATTCAAGTACATTAAATAAGTTAACCACAAATCTGCTCTCTCTAGGGCTTTGTGATCAACAATCAAGAATATCTTACTGTGTGTCTGTGACAATTACTAACCATGATAGGATTTCTCCTGTTCCAATCAAATTTCCAAAAACGGTATTATTTCAAACATTGTATAATTACAGGAAACAGTATTATTTCAAACATTGTACAATTTTAAATTCTGAACTCTCTCCAAATACTAATTCTTCCATTTTACTTAAGTGTGAAATTTTATCCTGCATATTATCTGTAATAAGACTCAGCTGTCTTCCTCTATTGCCCAGAGAATAAACATTTGCTTCACTAAATTTAATAGAACTAGCAATATTACCTTGTAATTTTTACTGATTTTTAAATATCTTTCATTAACTAATAAAATAATAGGAACAGAAAATAATGTTGGAAAATATATTCACCAAAATTATATTAAAACAGTTTAGTCCTCTACTTTGTAATCCCCTGATTTTAAGTCCAGTACAAGATATGCTACCAATACAGCAATTACTAAGGAGGAGAAAGTGTAATTAGACACACTTTCCACAAAGATTACAAGGATATAAAGCATCAATATTCACTTTGGTTTCTAACATGAGTGTCCTTAACCAAGATGCTCATTCAAACTGTCTGAATCCCTGACAGTTCATGTTACAGGAGTTCACATTAACAGGGTTCTCTTCGGTGAGGGTTTGAGATTCCCATAGCCAGGAAATAAATATAAAGCATGGATGACATAATCATCTAAAGCAGTGTTTCTCAACCTTCCTAATGCTGCAACCCTTTAATACAGTTATGTTGTGATGACACCCCCAACCCAAAAGTTATTTTCATTGCTACTTCATAACTGTAATTTTGCTGCTGTTATGAATCATAATGTAAATATTTTAGAGATAGAGTGTAGGGGGTTGTGACCCATAGGTTGAGAACCACTAATAAATGGTCTGAACAATTATCTACACAAAAATACACAAGTTCTGTAGTTGCCCTGTACTGATAGGAAGAATGAAAGTGCCAATGAAAAAGCCCCATGTCTTTTTATGATATTGCTCACTACCACATCAACGTCAAGGCATTAACCATCAACTTAGAGTTCCATAAAACACGTTCTTGTTCTTTTTCATCCTGTCTTTAATAGAATTACAATCTGATCCTATGAGGATTCCAGAATAGTGTAGTTCATTAAAGTGAGGAACAAAAAGCCCATTCTAAAAATGGGAGCTGTTTAATCATGATTAACCATGATATGCAGAGTAAGTTGTAAGGAATAAAACTCTGAAGAACAATGAAGTAAGTTATCTTAATTTACAGGATACTAAAAACAAACTAATTTTTAAACATCTAATATTGCCTTTTACATTTTAGTGGTAAAAAAATTATAAAATTTAATCAGAATCACCTATATTCAAATGAATGTCTGACTTTAGTGAAATTGCTATATAATTATATGCTACTGGCTATAAAATGTTCTAATTATAAAGAGTTGTTGTGTGGTAAAGATCTGGGAGGGGTACTTTTCCCAAATAAGTAAAAATCAAGATTTTCTAAGACAAATACAAGAGGGGGTACCTCCATAAAATAATGACTTTTCTACCAGATATTGTTTAGCCTTGTTTTTGAGACTTTTGACAAGATGGGAATATGGTCAATCACATAAAAAGGTTTGGTTATATGCTAATAACCATTGTAATGTCTTAAAACTACATGTTAAATTATATAGACATGACACTGTGTAGTGTCATCATCACGTCTCTCAGAATGTAGATTATCTCAGTCAAAAAGTCAAAGCATAACAGCATGTAAAAGTAGTGAAAACAAGGAAAATTTCAAAGAACATAATAAAATCCTTCCAAGCTAGAAGCCAGACTTTTGATGCACAATTCACTTTGAAGAAAAAGGTCTTTTATGGTATCTAATCAAAATCTTCATTTCAGCAACAGAAGAGCCTCCATTAACATGTTAAAAGTATTAATTGTCAATACCTTGACTAATCAAACCACTTTATGATTCATATAGGCACAAAATTTCATTTTCCTTTTTAAACAACTATAGCCCAGAGAACATGAAAAGATGTAACATTAGCAACAGAATTCACTACTTAACTACCATGGGGCATATCCACTGTGAGCTTAAGAGAATCTACTAGTTACTTTGTGTAGAGGTCCACGTTCTCCACATCCCACTTTGAAAACAAGGGATGCAAGGGGCACATGTAAATTCTCCCCCAACCAAAGTCCAGACTTGTCACAAACAGAGTCAGTTTGGAGAATTATGGGTGGGGTATCAAAACACAGAGGAAATAGCCCAGACTAGTGGTTAACAGTGTGCACAGTCCTATATCCTAAACCAAATGAAGGCAGATGGTTTTTCTTCAACCACAAAGAAAAATTCCTCAGAATTACACTAGTCACCCTCTCTGGATGGTTTAGCACAATGATTCTCAACCTTCCTAATGCTGTGACCCTTTAATACAATTTCTCTTGTTATGGTGAGCTCCATCCATTAAAATTATTTTTGTTGCTACTTCATAATTATTATTTTCTACTGTTATATATCAATGCAAGCATCTACATTTTCTGATGGTCTTATGCTACCCCGTGAAATGGTTGTTCAAACCCGCAAAGAGTCACAATCCACAGGTTGAGAACCCTGCTCTAAAGCATAAATAAAACATATAGGAATGTTTCCCATTAGTTGTATTCTCTCCCCTCTACTGTGTTCTAGGAGGATTCAAAACTGAGTTTTTTTCTCCACAGTGTACATCATATCAACCCCTTTTTCCAAATCAAGAAATTTACCCATTAGTATGTTATCCCACAGACTCAATAAGGATTGATACACTGTGTTTCTCTATACCCTGGATTATCATAAAGAGGTTCCTTTAAACTGATTCAACACATCTTGATGGTAATTCATTTAACAATGGCAGTTGACTTATAGGCTTAAACACAAAGAAACCATTACCAAAATGGTACAAAAAAACTGGGTTCCACCTTCTCATTTTATAGAAGAAACTAAGGCCCATAGAAATTAAGTGACAAGTCACAAGACAATGGGTTCTCAGCACCTAAGACTTAAGTCCCAAAAGTCTAAAAGTCCTACCATAGAAATGAGTGCACACCCATCGTTACTGACATTCATAGCAGCTAGAAGTGAACCCAGCCTAGAAGTTCATCAATACATGAATGGGGAAGAAAATGTGGTACATATAGACAATACAATTTTACTTGGCCATAAAGAAAAATGAAATCATGGCATCTGCATAACAATGGGACTTGAAATTACTATCATAAGCAAGGTACCCCAGATCCAGAAAGACAAATACCACATGCTTTCTCTAACATTGTAACCTAGATTTTAACTGTATAAATGTAAGGGTTAACAGTTACAAAACTACAAAGGGCTAAGATGGAGGAAGAATTAAAAAGAGGGTAGCAAAATACATGTGACATGAGAGCAAAAGGGGTCTTGTGGGAAGAGGAAGGGAACCAATAGGAGGGAACTGGACTGGGGGTGGAGGAGCAGAGAACCAAGAAAAACAATGTATGAAAATTCCATAATAAAATCAACATAGTGTATGAAAGTTAAAAAAACAAAGAAAAAAGAAAAATCAGGCCCTAATGTGATATGATGAGAAAAAAAATAATTTTCCATTATACCATGTCGGCTTCTGTTTTTGTTTCACATTTCTTTAGACCAAATGTGTTTTATTTTTACACACACTTAATAATAGATGATAAAGCAAAGGCCAAATTAAACACAATGTTTAAGGTTCTCACGTTAATTTATCTCAAAAGGATTTATTTTTCTAACTAACATAGCATGTCAAATTTATAGCATTATGGAGATAGAGAAAAGAACCTGTGGTGTAGGCATATACTTACTGCAATAAACAAAATATCCACTGGAGGGAAGCATACACTAGGTTTTTAAGCCTTACCTGCATTGGTGTTTCACTTCCTTGTTGAAACTCTTCAATTTGTGGCTGTTGCCAAGGAGCTAAACTGTAAGAATCCTCTGAAGTTCTGTCTTCCAATGGGTTTGTTCGTAACTGCTCTGTAAGCCACATCTGAGTCCTCACGGAAGGTTGAATGGGAACTCCACTGACTGCCTGCTGGCCAAGCATCAAGTACTTGGGAGACTCAAAAGCCTCTGAGCCTGTCACAATGGGCTTGCTCTCAGGTAAGGCACTGTAAGTCATGTCTAAGGTCTGTCTCCTAAGAGCAGAGGAGGAGGCTCTGGTGTCCTCTTTATTGTAGCTCTCAAATTTATACTTGCAGTCCAGAGTTGAAGACCACTTTTTATTTATTTCCTTGTCTTCCAACTTAAGCATCTCCATACTGTCATGTAAGCAACTGGGCCCAACCGTCCTTAAGTGGGGTGGGAAATTCTTGCCCTTCCCTATCTTTTCCAAATCATTCCTCAACTCTTCTGTGTATGCAATGCCACTCTGGTTGCAGTTATCCGGGGCAGTAAGTTTGGACAAAGATGACCATTTCCGTAGGGGCCTGAAGTCCTTCATGTCTAGTGAGGAGTCCTGCTCCCCTCTACTGTGGTCTCCCAGTGACTGCATGAGGCTTACAGTCCATTTAGAGCTATCTGATGCTACAGATTCCATGTGTTTGGAAATTGAATCACTGGAGTTAGACGGCATCACATGGGCAGTGGGAAGGGTAACCAATGATCGACTAGGTTTAAAAGACAGCGTGCCACTTGAAGTTGAATGATCTGAAATGAGAAAAGATTGCCATGTCAGTTTCAATTAAATTGAAAAACACAAAATATAATGTAAAATGCAAAATGCCACAGTAAAAATCTGAATGTGGCTTCCCAGTATGTATTTCTGAGTTTCTTCCTTAAAATGAGGCAATTGCTAATACTATTATCACTCTAAGGTTATCAAAAATAATTCAACATCCTTTCAAACATCATCCCTATACCCATTTCTCTCCTCTGTTCCCCATCTGCTCCCAGTGATCCCCTCCACAGCCATCTACTGCTGTGCCCATATTTGTGTATTCTTGATAAGCAAGTGAGTTTCCTTAGGGTTGGGATAGGACCCAGGGAGAGCACACACACTCCTCATTAGTGTTACCCACTCAAGAAAATGTGTCTCTCTCCTAATGGACCACTAAGTGGCCATAGATGCTCAGGAAGCAGTGGGGTCTCATGAGACCTGGACTCTTAGCTACTATTATCTGCCTATAGGGACAGGACATGGGATGTTCATGGGTCCTTCTTCCTCTTCCTGTCCCCATATAACACAATGTTGGCAGGCCCAATCTTACACAGGTCCCGTACCAGGAATCATAGCTGCTATGAGATCAAGAGTGCAATGGTAATATCATTATAAGGAGTGTTTCAATTCATCCCCTGCCTCCCCTCTCTGGCTCTTGTGTTCTTTCCACCCATCTTCTGCTATGTTCCCTGAGCCTTGAAGTGGGTGATATAGGACTCCATTTATGGCTCAGCATTCAGCAGCCCCTTATTCTTGGCAATTTGACCAGTTCTAGTCTCTGCAGTTACTGTCAAATCTAAAGAAAATCAAAGGCTGGTCTATTTATACACATGTGTATATCCATAACATGCACAGTAAAAGAGCTAGTGACATGTTAAGACTGTTTAAGGACATCACTATTACCTAGCAATGTAAGTGGGTTACATTTAAGATAACACTTCTAAATCTTTAACAAAATCTCAACTTTCTGTTATTTTTATCTATGAACACACTAATTCTATCTTCTCTTACACAGAACCTCCCCTCCTCCAAATCTTCTCTGATCTACTCTCCTATAACAAGAAGGAATTAAATGCAATAAACTTTCTATCCTAGATCCAAATGCTAATCTTAAGTTTTTAGTTAAAAATAAAACCTCAAATCAAAACATTCTGATTAAAATGTAGGACCATAATTATTAATCAGTATAAATTCTAATAATATTTTACTTTAACCACAAGGTAGTCATTTTTACATATCATGATAGTTTTTTTTCTTTCACTTTCTTCCTAATATCATAATCACAGTGTACTGTAACATATGGGAAAAACATTTTTATGCCACAAGTAATCTCTTCCTTTTTAAAATTAATATTTCAAAGTAATCTGTGTATCTTAGGTAAATATTTTTAAATATTTTATGTATCCTATGACCTACAACCCTAAATTTAACAACTGCCTATAGAGATGACCTAACTTAACTAAGCCCAGAACCCAAAATAAAAGTGGGGCTTTTTCTCTATCTAATGTCAGCTAGACAACACCACACTCCTGCTCAGGCCTTCTGCCTCTATGTTCTTCCTAAGCATAGGCATGTCAGTGTTAAGAAAGGCTTTGGAGTGAGAGGTGGACAATGTCAGTTCCACTACCTGCAACCTCTGGACACATTACTAAACTGCTCTAAATTAAGAGGGATGAATTTTACCTCAGGATTTCACAGTTTATATGAATTATATCATACTGCAAAAATGTACGGGTTTTCTCTTTGACTTGTTTTAAGACAGGGTCTAGTTATTATATAGATGAAGCTTATTTTAAATTTTCTATGTAGCCCATTCTGCCTAAATGTCACAATCCTCCTGCCTCAGACTTCCAAGTACTGACACAGATGTATGCCACCACACCTAGCTTACAGAAGACCTTTGAATTCATGTTTGAGACCTGGAATGCTGTGATATCTCAAAGTCTAAGTATTGATGACGACACCTGCTAGTAACTCATTGGCTACATATTGTGCCCAAGACAAGCCTGGAATATATGAGACCTTGTCCAAAACACAGGAGGGTGAAGGAGAAGGTATGATTTTATCTCCTGAATGATCTCATTTTCTTCTCCTGTCTCTCTCTTCTTGTGACTGTTACCATCAGCTCCTACTCAAATACAGCAAGCAGTCCCTTGACATCCAATTTAGCTTTTCTGTGATCTGTCCTTCACATTACACATAAACCACAGTACGGTCTTACTCTCAGACTGACCATGCTGATCTCTCCACCTAGACTGCACTCCTCAAACCTGCCCAGCCAGCACCTACAGCCTTCTTGTGAGTCCTGTAATCCACTCCATCCACCACTGCCCAACACCTGTCCATGCCTCCCAGCATGCTTCACTTGCCAGACTGCTTACTTATTTTACAATACTTGCTGTCTTCTCTACTGAATGGTATATTAACAACAAGGAGAAATAGCTGCTTTGTTTCTAACACTATCAGTATTTAACACACAGGAGACACTAAGTAATGGCTAAGCAAATAAATGACTAATAAACCCTTACACTTTGAGAGCCCTGGGTTTTTTTTTTTCCAAGATAAAGACAATTTAGCAAGTGACTCCTCTCATACATATATACAGAATGAGCTCAAAATATAAAATAGTAAATGGCATGTTATTAGTAAACCAACTAATGAAGATATGATTAAACAGTTCTTTTTATTGGACCTATTTATTTAAAATAAATGAAATTAATTGGATAAAACTACCATCCCCAAAGAAAATTAGCAGTAGGAAATTGTCAAAAGCAAAAACTTAACTCTATCTGTACCTCTCTTTAAGTACACTTAAAAAATAACCCAACACAGACGACTAAACTTAGTTAGGTATGGTAAGCCAAAGGGTTTTTGTTGTTGTTGTTGTTTTTCATAGATAAATGAATCCATGTAATTTGTTTGACACAGTTTAATCTTTGTTGACTGACTTTACACATGTAGTATTAAGGCACTACATCAATAGAATCAAAACAAAAAACTTATTTCATGTACTTTTATCTATACTCAAAAATTAAATTGGCATTTAGCATACAGATAATCTTCAACCTTAACTGTCTTACAGTCAAAAAGAAATAATAACTGGAATAAATCAATCCCATAATAAGTTAAATATCTGGATTATAAAACACAGTATAATATTATTGGACATATCACCAACAAAAAGCCTGAAGACAGCTTATTAAAATATTTTATAGAATGAATGTTTTATTTGAATTTTTTAAATAAGTTCAGATTATATTTGCTAACACTTAAACAAAATGTATATTGTTTATAATAGGCCACAGAAGGGAATTCTCAAGTAGGAGCTATAGTAAAAAGTAGCTGAATATACTGAAGGCTACTCTCCACTGCTCAGAAGTATATGCTTAACAATGATAGATTAGCTGTGGATATAGCTTAATGGTGAAACACTGCCTATCATGTGCAAGATCCTGGGTTCAAAGCCCTAGTACCAAAAAAAAGAAGAAAAATGAGGTAAACAAGCATCAATTGATTTTATAAAAAAGACATCTGGTTAATAGATGGCAATTTACAGAACCAAGGACTGAGTGTGGAAAGCATGTACATTCATATGACACTTTTACAAAGCAATCCAACAGACAGCACACTTTACAGCTGACATTTACTGTAAGCATCAACCTATTAAACTGTATTCTACTGCAAAGATAATTGCAGCATTAAGTAATTCTCCATAGTAGTTATTTTTTAGGTCCCTTACACTAAAAAGATATGCCATGAAGCAAATCTCACAACAAAAAACAAAGTCTATAAATCAACCTTTGGACTTGGTAGGGACAATAACTCTCATGCAACAGAAACCATGAAAGGCATAAAAATTCAGAAGAGAGAATACACACTAAGAATCAAGTGTTAAATCAAAAAAGACAGTAGCCTTTCCTACTAAATAAGTAGTCTTAGGCAACTTACAAGAGAAAAGAAAAAAGTTTATTTGGGCTTACAGTTCCACAGGGTGCTAAGAGTCCAGAGTAGCAGAGCAGAGTCATGGTGGCTAGAACAGAAAACTGTAAGCTCACATCTTAAACCACAGGTACAAACAGAGAGCATGAAACAGCTCATGGCTTTAAAACGTCAAAGCCTACCCCTGGTGATGCACCTCCTCTAACAAGGCCACATCTTCCAAACATACCCAAGCAGTGCCACCAACAGAGGACCAAGTGTTCAAACATCTGAGCCTATGGGGAACATTCTCATTCCAAACACGGTAAAGTTCGTCATTCAAACAACAATCCTGATTCATGTTCCACAGGAATAGCACATCTGTTACCCACAGTCAGTCTATCGTCCTAGCTCATTCTTAGTCACAATTCTTCATAGTCCTTATTCTTTCCTAAATGTCCTGTCCTACTTGCCCTGTCTTCACATTTTAGCAGTTTACCCATATAAAATAACCTTTACATAACACAATCTTCTAGGATCATGCCTTAAATTCAATGATTGTCTTTTAGAATATCAATGTAGTACTATACAACATAACATAAAAATCATCCATTGTTTCTTGTATTAATAAAAAATCTGGCAAGGAAAGGAGCTGAAGTTTAGCTTGGAAGTGAAAGCACAAATCAATGCAAGTTTACCGGCCCCACCCCACCCCCCCAAAAAAGCTGTCTTTAGTCAGCCTGTTGGAAGAAACAAGGAAACTCATGCTGTCTATGCCTGGAAGATCACATTAGCTTGTGTTTCATGCAATTATTTAGTAAGAAGACAGTATGATTTGCTACTAACACAAATTTACTTCAAATTAATTCACAAAATAAATAAAATCTTTAAAGAAAACTTTAAATAAAAAAATTCAAGAGCTTCAAGAAATTATGAAAACTACAGCCTTCTCAGTGAATATGATTAGATGTTCTCCAGGCCACTGTCATAAAGAAGACAGCACCCCCGTCTCCACAGGTCCTGGGATACACAGGCAATATTTTTAAAAGTGCTCTTGGGTAAACTGAGGAAA